GGGTCAGATCCACTATTTCCCAGATCCCAAGTCTCTCTCTTTCTTGGTTTTCTTCCTTGTTTTGCTTAAGTACATCCTCAAGTTGCTTTTTATGAAAGGGTGTGTAGAAAGTAATATTCCTGAATTCTTGTATATCTGATGATATGTTTATTCTGTTCTATAGTTTCTCTGGGTACAGAATTCCAATTTGAAAACAATGCCCTTTAGATTTTTGAAAGAATTCCTTCATCATTATTTTCTAATGTCCAGGGTCATTGATGAGAAATTTGATATTTTACTGATCTTCACTCCTTGCAGGTTTTGCTTTTTTTCTCTCTAGGATTATTAAGGATCTCTTCTTTATACTCAGTATCATTAAATTCCATGAGTATATATCCAGGTGTGGTCTTTTCTTCATTTGTACTGTTCAGCACTTGAGCATTTCAATTCGGTGACTTGCATACTTATACATATCTGAAAATTTTCATTTTTCTTATTTCTTTAAATGGTTTTTCCCATCTTTTCCACCATTCTCTCTTTCTGGAATTCCCTATAGTCAAATTAAACCTTTCGGATTGATATTGCTTATTCTTTTAAACAATATCTCTATAATTTTATCTTTTTGATCTGTGTTCTGGGATAGTTCTTAAACTTTCTCTTCCAGTCCTTCTATTAAATTTTTGATTCTTGCAGTCATTAAAAATTTTTCAATAACTTTCTTTTTCTCTGAGGGTTCTTTTCCCAACAGCCTCCACTTCATATTTTATGGATGCAAGATCTTGAATTTTTATAAGAAAATCAGTTAGAATTTTTCTAAGTTCTCTTCTGTTTCTTAAATTACTTCCCTTCTCATTTATCCTATTTGTTTATCTTGGCCTTTATTTTTCATACTGTTGGTAGCCTCATTTTTCTGGTGATCACTATTTTTTTTAAAAAAGGACGTGACTGATTATCTCAGTAGCTGGTGTTGAGAAGAGGAAGCAAATGTATCTACTCAGTCTGCCATCTNATATCTAGCAGCTTTAGTTTTACTTTTGTATTGTCAATGTGGATAAACTGGTTTGTACATTTGGTCTTATAATTAAGTCTTCTGTGCTCTGTCTATATGTCGATTTTAAAAGTTGGTAACCAGTAAAGAGCATTTACGTCTTGTGATTATTGTTCACTGCAGAGCCAAGTCATGTGCTAGGATTTTACTTTCTTTTCTATGTGTCCAATGTTCTAACTCCAGATCCACTTTAAGGAGAATGCTCCTACCATCAAGGTCAAATGTATTTTCTCTTCTTGTACTCCATCCTGATTAAAATCATGCCATATCTCAGTTTGTTCACCTATGAATCATACCTGTCTGGTATAACGTTTTTGTTTTTGTTGGAATTATAAACTGTTTTTATTTTTCTTGTTTGCAATAACGTTCCTTCATTCTAATCTCAAATTCAGCCACACTCTGTGATTCAGAGATGTCCAACCTCAGTCA